AAGACAAAGGCTCGGGTTAGCTGAGACTAGAACACTAAGGCAGTTGTTTTGCTACTATGCCAAGTGTTTTATGGTATATGATTACTGAGGTAAAGTTCTACCCTAGGAAAATGGCCTTTCTTATGAGCTTTTAACATTATACATCTTTCCAGTTGAGGTTACTGAACACCTAGTTCCGACGTGTTGGGCCTAGAAGGCTCTGTGTGAGTATTAGATGTGTTTACACAGGTAACATCTAACAACCACTGGGGAATATATACATTGGTAAATCGATACCCATCACTAGTGCAAAAGAGCTTGAAGGTGCATTTTTATCTACTATTTTTATGCTTGCTTAAGGAAAAATTTCTGGTTGTTTTGTTAAGGAGTGCTAGCACATATCTTTATAGTTTATAAAAGACTCATTTCCACCCCAGTGTCACTATATTATTAAATATAATAGTTTTGTTCATATTTATGTTTGGTACTGCCCCTGGTTGCTACTTTCTTAATTGTATAAAGTTCTATTTTTTAATATACCTGTTTAAACTCTTAGTATGAACTGTATTGTTCCTTTCTAGGCAACGTGAAAGCTGTAATGTAGATTCATATGTTCTGGCACTTATTTCCTTTTGGTCACAACAAATATCATGAAGGTTCATGGAATCCAAAGAAATGGTGAAATTCTCCAGTGTGATTGGCTTGATACTTTTTGTGATATCCTACACTGGCTGAGGTTTTATTTATAGATATTTATGATGTATCACCTCCATTTTGCCTTTTTTGGTTTAGGTGAAATGTTTGAGATCTGTGATACTTTGAAGCATCTAAAACTAAATAAATGTTCGTTGTGTTTGTGGAAAAAAATTTCATTACCATCTCCAAGGTTGTTTCAGTATATACTACAATCTCACAGACTCAAAACTATAAGTAATTCACTGTCTTTATTAAAGTTTCTGGAAATAATAATTCCAAAAACTTAAAAAAATGAGAATCTTTTCATGACTCTTGTTTAACATGTCTATTTGATAATAACATTCATTCCTCTTCAACAGCACATTGGGTTAGTCAATATAGACACATTTGTTATTCTACTGTAAGATCCACAAAGCATGGGTCTGTATTTGTACCATACTAGAGATATCAACACAATATTGTAGAACTTGCAAGTTATTACAGCACTATGCCTAGAATCCAGTATATACACCACCGTCCAGGTATTCGAAGGACCACTGAGTTTCGGACAATGTTCTCATCCACCACAATGGATTTTCATCATCCATAAAAAGAAAACGAAAATAAATATAAAATATATGGAAAGCCAAATTATGTAGTATGACTAAAAAGAATTATAAGCAACTTGAATAACAAAGGTAACATTAGCTTTTTTCAGTAGACCAGTCTGTATCATTTATTACTTAGTAATTTTTTTTGGTAATCATTACTTAGTAATTTATCGCATTTGATTCAGAAAAGCCTGGCTCTCTGATTGATAACAGAAGCTGATTTTGCTAGCAACATATAATATTCTCTAATGTAGCTCTGTAACCTTTGCAGTTGTAAGCAACATCTGTATTCACCTGTCTTGACTGCCATCCTGAAGACACTTTGTTCTCAAATGGGTCAGGTGTTAAATTCACAACCTTCTCTAGAGAACTGATGTGGAATTACTGTTTCACAGGCAGTTCAAACTGATGGGATATTTTAGTACTTCATTCAGTCCAGTTAAAAATACACAGAACAATATTTGACTAAAATTATAAATGATGCAGTCATTATGTGTAAAGAACATTCTTTTCTTTATGCTTGAACTTATATTTGGTAAAATAGTGAAAACTATTTAAACAGAAGAGTTGCTTTTTAGTGAGCATTAATTATTTTCAATTCAATTTGGAAAGCACTAGGTATGAGCTTTTCATGTTATTCGTGATAAGATAATGAAAAATAGTTGATGAGTTCCATGTCTCTACAGAAACTCAGGTGATACGTTACTGACCTATGGAAATTAATTCCTCACTGGATTTGAATTTCTATTCTAGTGTACTAGATCAATTATTCATTCTCCTATTACTATTCAGTTAAAATTGTCATCTGAAAAGAAACAAACAAATTCTAGGTGGAAGAAGAGTCAGCAACTGTATTCATAAAGTGCCTGGTGTATTACACACAGTTGAAATCCCAGTCTGCGTACTTATGTTTTCAGATCATTTGTGATCTTACAGCTTGATGAATGTTCTAGTCAAGAGAGCAGCACATATGCCTTTTCTTATCATATAACCTTCTTCTCATATTCAAGTAAATATCACTCAAACTTTGTCCATGACATTTGCCAGAATTCAAGCACGAAAGACTCCTTCCTTCTTAATGCCATGATTATTTTCTAGCCCTTATATACTTACAGTCTTATGACGAGTCAGGAGATTGTGATGAATGAGGAAAGAGCAATAGAGTGCTTATTCAGTTTCTCATTTTAGAGAAGAAAAAAAAATCAATGCAGGGTGATGGAGTTCCTCAGTGATTTGCACACGTCCCAAAATGACATAGTTCATTTCTATCTTTAGCAAAATATAATTTCCAGTCTTTTTTCTTGACTTCAAGGTCTTGAAAGGATTAACCCTCTCCCAAGCAAACACTGTATAAACGAACTTATGTATAACGTCCTCCATGCTCAGCAGCAGTGGCTATCTCTGTGCTACCAGCATCATCTACAATGGAAGCACTGAAGCAGAGCTACAGGGCTGAGTCTGGTCCTCCTCTCCATGCTTTTTCGGCCCTCACTTTCATAACCCTTCATGTCTGGTCAGAGTATAGTCTGCATATGCATAATGCTTTAACATACAGCCATTCCTTGTTACTTTCTAACGGTTCTTTTCCCTTAGCCTTACAGTGCATACATATGTTCAGATTGTAAGAAATACCCATTTTGCAAGGCTTTTCAACATGCCACCCAGGATTAGAAAATATTTTCCCCAACCAAATCAGAAACATGTAGTTTAACCAAAAGACATTCTAATTTTCATGCTATGTTGAGTATAAATATAAATTCAAGGCAGCCAACCTATCCATTTCCAAATAAGAATGTATACCTACACTCATTAAAAATCATCTGGAAAGGTGTATTATTAGCAAATGAGTAAGAAATTTTCACTAGTATAAAATTCCTGCTTTATATAAAAGCCACACTGGCCATTCAAGTATTTGAGGTTTTGTTTTTCCCCTATAGTTTTTGTAAGTCATACTAAAATGATGAAATTAGGCTTGAACTTATATTAAAAGGAAATAAAAAAATTCACTTCTACCTACAGGGCGGTTTTAGAGCGTGCATGTAAAGAGCAAGTGTCCATCTGCAGATCCACAATCAACATTCTTTCTCTTCCCCACTCTAAGGAAACAGCTCATGCTTACTAGGTTTTTTAGAGAACAATAATCCAATGGTGAAAACACCACCACAATTCCTTCAGTTTGTGCCGGTTTGCAAGTTAAAGGTCAAAGGGCAAAGACATAGAACAGGACTCTTCAAGGAAAATTTTCACAGAAGACAATGTTTAAGTTGTTGTTAATGACAGTCAACAGATCAATAATCAAGTTCAAGGCAAGCTGTTCATTGTTTCAAAAGCTAATCCCCCTCAAAAGCTGGCTTTCACACAAAGCCAAAGTCTGACTCACGGGGTGCATTCCTTCTGACCATCTCTAATAAGTTCACAGCCCCTATGGCTGTAAAGCCTTTCACTGCAAGAAGCAGCTCCTAAAAATCAATAAAGAGGTCTGTCAGTTGCTGACTTTTCTCTAGGAAAAAAATATTGATACAAACCTGCTCTGCAGGTCACATGAAAATGACAATACTGTTGTTAGGACAAATTACACTCAACAATGAAATGCTTTGGTGGTCTCTTGGCTCTGTCAGTGATCAAATGAATGGCTGAATGCCAGAAGCCACACTAACCCTTTGAGAACTATGGTTGACATGCAGTAGGTAATGCATTGGAAGATTCTCATGCAACCTCAGAGTCATCTTTTAATTCAGTTTTCAAATGGCAATGGTAACTGCATGAACTAAGGCAAATTGAATTTTCATGCAATAGATTTTAAAACAAAAATTCAATATGTCTAGGAAAGAAGAAAAAAGAGAAGACTTCAGCTGTTATCACCACTTGTTCGAATAAAATTTCACTCTTTTGAGATAGTTAGCAAAATATCTGTTTTATTTGCCATAAAAGTTTTTTTTGGCAAGTGACATTATTTATCTTTGTTATAAATGCATTTATGTATTATTATGAATCATTTAAGAATTACATGAGATTATAGGATATGTTTTAGAAACCAAAGTTCTTGAAGCTGTTGACTGTTCACTGCCCTGTTCTACAACGTACCAGACTCTGAAAGCTGGTCTGATAGTTCTCAAAGGGTTACACCAATGTGTTAATAGAGTCACAAATCCTTGTAAAATAACTGTCACTTAGATCTATTTCAGAGGCATACTGCTTCTTGCTCTGTTTATAATGAATATTGCTGACAGACCCACGGAAGGCCTGGGGCAATGGCCTAAGACAACCTGGGGAGATATCACAATGATGGAGGGGGTCAGGTGGCAAGAAAAGGTTTAGAAACACTTCAGAACAACTTAAAGGTCCTGTGTGATAGAGTTATGAATATAAATGTGATGAAACATTGAGGACAGAGCTGAGAACAGCTGTATAAAACGAAAAATGGATGTATTATTAAGGCTGTTACTATATTGCAGATATTTTGGCCCCTAGTTTGTTGGAAAATGGCTGTCCCAACAGTCTAAAAGTCCTGCATGTGTATTCCAGAACTCCCACCTGACACAGGGCTGCGCGGAGACTATCCGTAGCTGTCACAGAGCTATCTTCTTTGGAGACAAAGCTGTTTTGGGTCTTCACACTTTCCTGAAAGTTCAATGGTGGATTTTTGTTGTTGTTGTTTAAACTGTATTTTCCTTTGCTTTAAAGAAAAAAAAATGTGGGTTTTCTGCTTTTCTTTCTTTTGCTTTTTAAATAATCTCTCTTTCCCAGAAATGGGCTCAGACTTCAGAAGGAAAAAAAATAACATTAAAAACCTTTGTGAAGAATCATTTCTTCTTTTTTTTTCCTCTTCTTTAATTAATCCTGAAATTTAATTGGGCATTGAGCGTGCAGAGGAAAGGCCTAGAACTGAATGACAAAGAAAGACAAAGGACTGAAGAACGGCAGATACTGTGCATCATGGAAGCTTCCCCATGAGTGAATTTCCACTCATGTGCAGGACCAGCAACCCTCTGGGTTTGAAGGTCAGCCCCGATTCAGGCTGCCACAAGCCTGCTCCTAGCTAGGAAACAGCATAACAGCTCTTGTCTTGAATCTCAAGTTACCACAAACTCCTGGAAAAGAAAGAAAGAAAGAAAAAACCCTACATCACACCCACTCTTGCATAGAGCGTTTACAGTACAGTATGTGGCGGGGTGTTCCTTTCCTCTTGAACTGGAACACAGTGTAAACCAATACAAGAAGGCATAAGGCCAAGATGCAGGGAATGACAATAGCTATGGCTTTCACAGTGCTGGCTGTGTTGTCCAGTTTGATGATAATGTCTACATCATCTGGTGGGCTGTGTCCTTCTTTATCTCGGTCTGTTGGTCCATCACAGCCCATAAAATCCTTGAGGATGGATCTTGGATATCCAGGTTCTACTTTGAGTATCTGGTTGTTGAATTTCCAATACTCCTTTCCTTTGTAGAAATATGTAAAGCCTGGTGGGAGAAACACATGCAGGTATCACCTATTTGTGATATTATATATGCCTTAAGGTATTAATAAAATAGGATACTTTTAAACACTATCCTCAGATCAACTAACTGTACATGGTATGTTCCAGGAATTATGTCCTCAAATACTTAATGAGAGAGAGAGACAGAGAGAGGTAGAGAGAGAGAGACAGATAGAGACAGACAGACAGAAAGAGAGAGAGCGACTCTGCGAATATTGTCACAGGATTATACATTACAGTGATAATAACAACCTACAGTGGAGGATGCTGAAATTGTTTCATAAAGTGAAACGCTGTTTACACTGAGGTTGCTGCTGAAGTGATTGTTCAATATATTGTAAAGAGATTTCTCACCTATTTACACCTCAAGGGAAATTTCTAATCATCTTAGCATCAGGCATCTTTGTACTCCTTCTAAGCAATGGATTCTTTTTGTCATTTGGAAAAGATACCATAATAAATCATCAGACAGGAGATGTTTGGCTCTCTCTACGAGGAATCTTAAAAAATAAACCTTTTTTATAGTGTCTTGTACGGTATCTTATTTCTGGTACAAGGTGTGCTTATTTTGTGTTTTATCTCTTTATTTGACTTATTTGCTTAATGTTAAATTTGTGTCACCTAGCCATATTTTATTTAACTTTCAAAGTTATTACTAATTCTTCTAGGAATAAAATGAAACATATCGCAATTCTATCTTTACAAATAGTTTCTATTTAATAAAGAAGGTGGTATAAGAAGTCTTAAATAACTTAGTAGAATATAGATAGATCTTTTATTTTCTAAAACACTATGATTATAGGTAATGGCCTTAGTATCTTTGTAAGATCCTGACAAAGTATAAATGTGCATTTTTCTAAAATATTTTTCATTTTTCTTTTTTTTGGGGGGGGGGAGGTCCAGTCATGGGCCCTGAACTCTGGGCCTGGGCACTGTCCCTTAGCTCTTCAGCTCAAGGCTTAGCGCTCTATCACTTGAGCCACAGCACCACTTCCAGCTTTTTTCTTTTTTCTTATGTGGTGCTGAGGAATCGAACCCAGGGCCTCATGCATGCAAGGCAAGCGCTCTACCACTGAGCCACCTTTCCAGTCCCGTATTTTTCATTTTTCTTAAAGGGACGCATCTAGTCTTTTCTTTCTTTCCATAGCTCCTTCATATAAAGTTTCTTTGGGACTATGCTAATTGAATTTAATTCTTGTTTTGATATAAAACAAAAGCATAAAAGCCAAAATAAAAAAAAGAAGAAAAAATGCAGTAATGCTACATTTAGTATAAAATGTTCTTGGGGAGTATCTATTTTTCACAGAATACATAATTTGGAGTTCATTCATAGTCATTAAGAAAGGCTTTTTTTCTTCTTATATTATGGAGGCTTATTATATCAGAAGCACAAGCTAGAAGTTTAGCATATGCCATCTTTTAACCCTTATTTTCAGTCCATCAAAGAGAATTAGTTACCCATTGTTGTCACAAAAATGTGTGTGTGTGTGTGTGTGTGTGTGTGTGTGTGTGTGTGTGTGTGTATTTCCCTGAGCCCTTTGTGAGAATAAAATTCAAACCCTTACCTTAATCTAGAGCCTGAACACATAACAATTTTACTAGTGAAACATCAAAGATGACATTAGGTATACTTTTGGCATAAAGAACTCTGACTTTACACAGAAATTTTAGATAAGAGTGATCCTCAGTTCAGGTCACTTCATTTTGGAAATCATGATGTTCATTGGCATTAAAAACTCTGCTGTGGCTTTTATTTTAGAAGGACAGTTTGGTAATCAGAGCAACTTGCCAAGTGAAAACAGGTGTATGCAGATTTAAATTTTTCTGCAGGGAGCTAGTATTTGAACATGCTAATAACATCCATTGTAATTACTTAATAAGCTTGGATAAAGGAATGTTGAAGGCTTGCCAAGTAACAGTACCTTAGATGATCACAACTGAACAATACCATTGAATGACAATTAAAGAGACCTTCAAAGTAAATTAAGATGCTTGTTTATAAACTGGGAAACTTACAGCAGAATGTGTCCTCACCTTCAATTTTTAGTCAAAATGAATTACTACAATGTTACTGGGCATCACACAAAAGTTAAGAAGATTCATTTTTTTGTTTACATTTATCTGTGCTGCAGGCCAATAACATACTTCTTGCATAGGCATAGAATTTGTAGTTACTGAGTACACTTTTGAGAAATCAGTCAAAAAAATTAGAACATGTAAATATTAGAAAAAAATCTAAAATCTTGTAAAGGAAATATATCAAACCTCAAATCTGGAAAATTTGTAATGTTTGATAATTTAGAGGGCTTTATCACTTATGAAGTATCTATTAATGTATTACTTTTATCTATTTGTAATGATTTTCAAATGAACTGAAGTAAGTTGAAGTAAAAAGAAATTGTCTAGCATATAATGCTAGATGTAAATGTAGAAAGCTAGGTCATACCAGTATAAATATTGCAAATAGTCATAGTATGATATTTTCTAATGATTTATTTTAGCGTAGTGAGAAAGAATAATGTGTTACTAAAACTTGAAACTTAGGAAATGTACAATGTCCATTGCATACCATTTTCTTTATGCACAAAGGCTCCCTGAGGAGATTCAGGGATGCCTTTCCAGACTGTGATTGGCTTGGGATAGCCAGGGTCCATGGTTTTCATTTCTTCACTATATCTCCAATATCTAAAAAAGACAAAACAACAACAATACAAGCATGGGAAAATTTCATATGAAAACATTTATAGTCAGGGATGGAAATGTGGCTTAGCAGTAGAGTGCTTGCCTAACATGCATGAAGCCTTGGGTTCAATTCCTCAGTACCATATAAACAGAAAAAGTCACAAGTAGTGCTGTGGCTCAAAGGCTAGCCTTGAGCACAGAGAGGCTCAAGGACAGTGCCTAGGCCCTGAGTTCAAGCTGTAGGACTGGCATAAAAAAACAAAAAAAAAAACAGTTATAGTTAACACTTACTAAATCTTGACACTATTACCTGTGTTCTTGATACTGATTTACAGAGTATCTGATTTAAATTACTAGAAAGTCAGTGCACATAAATAATTTGATTCCTCTTCTGTGTGTCTTAAAATGCATATTAATGTACACATCCTGCATATGTTAAAGTGAGTATTTATTTGAACTGCTAAAATTAACAAATGCTCTATGCTCTATGATACATAAGTGTACTTGTAATTTATAAGACTACATTATACCTATTTATGTAGTCTTGAATATGAAACCTTAATTTTCAAACTATATCACTTTCACCAAAACACATATACACTAGATTTAATTGATCTTGTATTGTATATTATGTGATGTAATACAGACCATAAATTAATTTATCAATAAATACCTATTTTGATAGGAAGTATTAAGAACAATAAAAATACAAGACAAGTGATCTAGGAAAGTATGAATGCCATTTTTAAATAGTAGACAGTAATTCCTCTTTGATGAGCTGATATTTTAAGCAGAGAGCAGAGATAACTAAAGAATGACATATGTAATTTTTGGTAAGAGAACATTTCAGGCATGGGAACTAGAAACCCACAGTTCTGATGGTGAGGATATGCTTGAAGCATATCACCATCTACCAAGAACCTAGAATAATTAAAATTGACTTAGTAATGGGGAGACAATATAGAGTAAAAACAAAAGACTAAGGTCAGAGATACTTTTATGCTATAATAGTCTTTGATTTTTGCTTTGAAAGAGAGAAGCCAATATACATTTTGAGATGGGTAACTTCAAGATATGGGTTATCGTTGAAAAGAGTACACTGGTTGCAGTAATAAAATAGATTAAAAGGGACAAGGTAGAAGTAGGGAGACCAGTTGACATATCATTGCCTTGCATACCTTGAACTGGTAATGGACCTACAAGGAGGATAATAATTCAAGCAATTCAGTTTGAGGAAAAGAATTGGAAGTATGTACTAATGTATTAGATTTGGTATGTGAGAAGGAAGTTGAATATAGTTTGAAGATTTCGATCTAATTTTCTGTCAGAAAATTATTACATAAAGAAGCAAAGTAAGGCCGGGTATTGGTGGCTCACGACTATAACCCTTACTACTCAGTAGGCTGAGATTTGAAGATCTGAAACTAGCTAGGGCAAGAAAGCTTATCTATTTATCTGTCTGTCTGTCTGTCTGTCTATCAACAGAAAGTAAAGTTCAATTATAGTCAGAATTCTTACACCCTTTTCCTCTCACAAGGTGGTGTATAAGGTAACTTTTCCAGAACCCCTAGGCTTCTATGTCCATAGCCCTACTTATTAGCATCTATATATCTCAAAAGTAGGAAAATTATGTTCCTGGTAAACTTATGAATTTTAACACAATTACATGAAACCACTGGGGGTTCACAGTAATAAGATGGCCTGTTCCAGGTATGATTCTAAGTCTATAAGTCTATAGGACATAACACTGTATGGATTATATGATTTAATCACAACAAATCCATGAATTAATCATCATTATTTCTATTGAAGAGAGAACTCGGAGTTCTCTTGGTCAAAAGATGACACATAAATGCAGAACTAGTTTGTCTACTTTCAAAAGTCATCACTCATGGGCTGGGAAGGTGGCTCAAGTGGTAGAGTACTAGCCTTGAGCTGAAGAGCTGAGGGGCAGCGCCCAGGCCCAGCATTCAGGCCACATGACAGACCAAAAAAAAAGTCATCACTCTCCAACATGACTCTGGCCTCCAAATTTTTGGTCACAAGCAGATATTTTCCAAATTTAATTGACAATGCTCATTGGCTCTCACTGAACTGCTAAAGCTAGTGTGTACCTACATGTTGAGAAGACAATAAACTTGCTTAATTGGTCTTAGGTTAGCCATTTTACCTGAAAATTGAAAAAGTAAAATGATTTCCACTCTAGTTATTTTCCCTGTGCTAGATTTATGGAGAAGCTTTTATCAACATAACTATAGGCTCTTGTTCAGAAGTCTGTGCTGTAAATTCCTGTATACATTACTCAGGTAAGATGTGGAATAAAACAAATTTTGCACTTTCAATGTTCTCATGAAAAGGAGAAGAAATGGCTTCAAGATGTATTCCAATAGGAAACCACAAGGCACAGAAAGAAAACAAATTCTCCTAGGTATTTGCCATAACTTCTCATCACAGGGATGATGAAAACAGATCTGATGAGCAGAGGAGAAAAAGTTTCATAGAGAAGCAATAAGCTGAAAAAAAGATGACTCAGTACTATATATTGTTAGCAATCCTGAAGTATATTTTCTTTCATATTTTGTTCACAGAGACATCTCCTTTTAAATTATTTCTAAGCATCCTTTTTTCATAGAATATTCTGTAAGGACACAGAATTATTTGTGGGGTTGAGATTGTGTTTATAATCTAAAAAGCTCTTCTCTTGAGTAAATACTTCAGTAGAGTTTACAGCAGTCATACATGTTTATTGTTTTCTTCACTGATCTAAATAATGCCTAGAGAAAAAGTTGAATACTTTATTTCACAAATATTAAGAGAGCCATTTTTTACATTTTACATTTCTGGACACCAAACAGAATTTATAATCAAAATATTCTCTTTCTTTTTTTTAACAAAACAGCTATACTTTATGAAGTATGGTATATAATTATATTAATTTACACAACAATCTTTCATATGATGTATTATAATGTTCTTTGTGGTAATGTCCTAGCATAACTGCAGCATGTATAATCATTTGTTTACCAGTTCTATCAATGTCAGAGCATTGGTATCATTTTATTCAAAGAAAATTTATTTACATTTTCTCACTTTAATATGAGGCAGGTGAAATTCACATGAACTGTCTGATTTATAATTCAGTTTGGCTTGAATACCATGATGCTGCTAGTCTTTATTTTGAAACTTTATTCTTATCATAAACTTCCATTATCCAAATGTGCATAATACTTTCAATCACAAAATGTTCATTGTTTGGGTATGTTTCCTTTGAAAGTTTACTCAAAGATCCATTCACCAATTAATGGATAAATTAATAAATTAATTGCAAGCCACATAAGACTCATGCAGATCACATTTCAAGAAAATATTCATGGTATATAAATTTTATTAGATTCTTTAACATAAATGAGTCTGTTTGATAAATATCTAGAGAACTTAAATGTGATTGGAATTATTTAGCTATATTCAGGATTATCTTTAAATGTGCAAGATTTAAAAATACAGGTTTGTACTTCAATTTTCAACATACTTGAACATATTTTACCAGGAAATAAAATGTCTGTCTCTCTGAAAAATAAGTTTTTATTGGATTCATTAAAAACTAAAGAAAATATTCTGATATGGATGGTTTTATTGTGAATAAATCCACTAATGAATTAAAAATTTAGATACAGTAAGAGGAAATTTTAATTTTATGCGAGTGTCAGTAAATAACAAAAAGTAGTTATTACAGCTTTTTCTTCTAATTCATTAATTTTCTCTCCTAGAGAAGTTTGACATTAAGTAAACGATTCTTTGAACAAAGCATTCTTAATCAATAATTCCCAATAAATAAGGAGATTCATTAGTTTTCAGACTTTTAGACTTCCATAAAAGATAGGAATTTCTTATGTAATAGCATAGAGAATTTTTAAAAAGCCTCTAACCTAAGGAAAAAAAAGGACCATAATTCTCTAGACTGAAATATTCAATGGAACACTGCTATATTCTAAACTCCACAAGGAACAACAGGGCTCATTTCACATGACTCAGTCATCTCTTTATCTGATTGGGCTTCAGAGAGTCTCTACTCTGAAGTCAAAATTACTTGCTTCTACTACACTGCCACAAAACATAAGAACATGTCTTTTCCCATTATCAAATAATTGCATAAAAATCTCATTTTTAATAAGAATGGCAAATAGTCATATGAAGAAATGCTCAAGCTCTCTAGCCATAAAAGAAATGCAGATCAAAACAACATTTAGATACGACAACACCCAAGTTAGAATGACTATAATCAAGAACTCTAATAACAACAGACGCTGGAGGGGATGTGGACAGAAGGGAACCCTACCGCATTGTTGGGAGTGTAAACTTGTTCAACCACTTTGAAAAGCAGTATAGAGGTTCCTCAGAAGACTCCACATAGAGCTCTCCTATGACCCAGCAACCCCACTTTTGTGCATTTACCTAAATGATCACAAACAAGATCATCTAAAGCTACCAGCACAACTAGATTTATTGCAGCATTATTTATTGCAGTAGATGAATGGATCAAGAAAATGTGGTATATATACACAATGGAATTCTATGCCTCCATCAGAAAGAATGACATTGCCCCATTTGTTAAGAAATGGAAAGACTTGGAAAAAATTATATTAAAGAAGTAAGCCAGGCCCAAAGAAACATAGGTCCCATGGTTTCCCTTATTTGTAATAACTAGTATATATCTGAGACAAGAAGAATAAGTCAGCTAAGATGATGTTAAGCAAAATGAACCCCAACATAGGGACACAAGTGGTTTTTTTCTTTCTTGCTATTGTTTCTAACGTATTTATAAGGTACCACGTGATTGTTTTTTGTTGCTTTGTATGTCCTTTCCCCATGGTATAACCCCTGTTTTCACAGTATTTGATGTTGGTATAATTTGGAGATGGGAAGGGAAAAAACACATTGTTTAAATAGGGATACAGGTTGACCCATTGCAACAATGAGATGTACTAGATGCTATGTCAAAAAACGAACTTTACAATTTAGGCGGGGGGGGGGGGGGAGTTATGGAGATGGGAAGGAAAGAATAGTAGGGGATGAACAAAGGAGGAGGCAACAATGCTTGAAATGCTTGGTAAGAAATGTACTCATTACCTTGCTTATGTAACTGTAAACCCTCTATACAGTATTTTCACAATAAAAAACATTTTTAATAATCTCATTTTTATGAAACATGCTTAACAATTCAGTAGAATAGAAAACATTAATTTACTTTGTTGATGAATATTTCAAAATACATGAAGTAACTGCTTGATAAAGTTATAACAAGTTCAAAGTCAAAATAGTTTTTCACTTTACTCTCTGTGGCATTTTTTTTAATGTATAAAGGGGGTGAATATTTCACCTTTTTATTTGACAATATCTTAAAATCTCAATAGTTATGTTGAGTATGAAATATGGCACTAGAAACTTAGATGTATCTTCAAAAAGATACAGAGAGATGATTTAGAAACATAGCATTTTAGAGCTAAATGCTAGGAAGATCAAAATGTTTCCAAGTATCAAATTATAGTCTATTATGAAAAGGGCAAGTAGAAGTTTGTGGGAATGAGTTCCATGCTGTATGTGAAACTGTAGATATTTTCACTGGAATTTATAGCTCTATTTAAAGAACTGTAATTTCCTCTAGTCTTTGGTTTTCTCTGCATTTAGAAAATTTCATTCTGTTGTCAGTACTTCCTCTATTTCAATTACCATTAGTCCTGTGCTTTTGATTGACCTATCCTCTGAGGCAAATTGAATATTCAACTACTTACTCACTTGACTTCTCTCAACTGGAATGTAATAGGTGCCTCAACAAATACAAATGTTATAATCTCTGAATCCCTTTCTCTTCAATTTTTTTCTAAAACCCTCTACTAAATACGCAATTATTTAAATGCAGAAGCTGGAAAATACCAATGATTTGTTGTTTAATTTCCTCTCCCCCAAAATAAAATACATAAGAACAAGGCATCACGATTGGATCCAAAATATATTCTGTAACTATACACTTTGCTCCAACCCTACTGTCACTGTCCCGTTACCACTGATCATTCTCAACTTTTTTCATATGTCAGTCCAGTGGCTTGAATTCAGGGCCTCAGAGCTGTCCACGAGCATTTTTGCTCAAGGCTAGCACTCTACCACTTGAGCCATGAGTCTCATGGTCTTTCCTGTCTATACTGGCTTCAAACCATGATCCTCGACTTTAGCCTCCTCCTGAATAGCTAGGATTACAGATATGAGCCACCAGAGCCCAGTTTTCACACAGGAGCTAGAACAATAGCAGTACACAATGCTACAAATCTTTTTCTTGTTTTCTGAACAATCATTCTTCATTCCTAAATTATTGCCATGACATTATTCTATTTTTTTGTTATCTACTATTTCATTACAACACACTAGTCTGACATGTGGCTGAAACTACTGTGGTTCCATATGCAAACAAAACCCTCTGAACTTCCACAATGACTTACCAGCCAGTCAATACCATCAATACCTATCTCTGTCACTCATTACCTTCTTGTACTCAGTAGGAGTTCTCAATATAAAATGGTGAAGACCATTGATTTGGTTACTATTCATTATTATTCTATTTCAACAGAAAGAGCCATAGGAATAGGACTCCTGTGGCCTTCCTACTACTAGTTCTTTATGTCTTGGCACATGCCATATAGTATGTATTTAAAAATAACTTCTGTATGAATTAACAAGAGTATACTAGTAACTGGTAGAAAAATCTTAGGGGAATGCATTAGAGCTACTGAAAATGCAATGGGTTCAAACCCATACGTTTAATTCAGGTAGTTAGGTAGATTTTTAATAGAATAAGTACATTGATAAATGTTATGACTATGGAATTATACGATAATACAAATATGAACTAGCCTGTTTATAAAACACCTTGAACTGATGACATTCAATGTAAAATCATACATATAAAAATTATTTGGAATCCTATTTTCAGTATTTTATATCTTATATATCCCATAGTAATTTAAGACAAAGTAATGCAAGCATTCCTACATACTTTACTCTAATTTTACGTATAACTTCATTTAGTTAGCAAAGAACTAAAACCAGCTAGGCATGTGGCTCATGCCTACAATCTAGCTACTCAAGTGGCTGAGATCTCAGGATTGCAGTTTGAAGCCAATCTGGGCAGGAAAGTCTGTGAGACTCTTTTTTTTTTTTTCCAATAAACTACTCAGAAAAAGTTTGGAGTGGTGCTATGGCTCAAGTGGTAGAGTGCTAGCCTTGAGCAAAAGCAGCTCAGAAATATTGCCTAGGCCCCGAATTCAAGCTCTAGGACCAGAGGGGGGAGGGGGGAATTGCTTATGAGATGTTTTTATTTTATTATAAATTTGTTATTGATTTCTCTAATTTGAGGTAGCATATAGTTAATCATTAAACTTAAAATTTCCAGTAATTGCTAAATTTTTAGGAACATCTTTTAGATATAAATTCAATGTATGGAAAAAGGGCTAGTTAATAATAGAATGATGGTTTTATCATCATACATGAAATTCTTCTAAGTTTCACATAAGTATTGAACTTTCATTTTTTTCCTCTTAGAAGCTCTTCTTCTAAGAAGAAGCTAACTTTTCCAAATCTCTACATTCTGTCATTTTCTCTCTTGAGTCCTAAGACAGTATATATAAGCAAATAAAAGCAGCTGGGCAATTAACCATCCTCAAGGATTATAACATTTTAAATGACACATTAACTGGGCTTGGTGGTAAGCACCTTTAATACCAGCACTTGAAAGAATGAGGTAGAAATATTGTGAATTAGAGGCTAGCCTGGAATATGTGGTGAGATTAGTATCAGCCTGGGCTATAAAGTACAATTCTGTAAAAAAAAAAAAAAAAAAAAGAGAACAAAATAAAGCAAAATAACATACTGTACAGAGGGGTTACAATTACATGGGCAAGATAATGAGTACATTTCCTATCAAGCATTGTAGCCTCCTCCTTTGTTTACCCTTCACATCCCTTCCCAGCCTCCCCCTCTAGCCCCGCCCAATCCTCCCCCCACCCACCAAAGTTGTAAAGTTCCTTTTCGACATGACAACTTGTATTTCTCATTGCTGCAACGGGTCCACCTGTATCCTTATTTAAACAACTTGTTTTTCACCTTCCCCTCCACAAATTATACCGACATCAAATACAGTGAAAGCAAGGGTTATACTGTGGGGGAGGGACATACAAAGCAACAAAGAAATAATCTTATAAATGCATTAGAAACAAATGCATGTAAGAAAAAAAACATTTATATATATATCTTAAGGTTCATTTTCCTAACATCACCTTATCTGACCTTTTCTGCTTGACTCATACATATACTAGATATTGCAAATAAAGGAAACCATGGGACCTATGTTTCTTTGGGCTTGGCTTACTTTACTTAATATAATTTTTTCCAAGACTTTCCATTTCCTAACAAATGGAGCAATGTCATTCTTTCTGATGGAAGCATAGAATTCCATTGTGTATATATACCACATTTTCTTAACTCTCATTAATTTTCCTCTTGATCTTGGTATGTTTAAATTTATAAAAATATAGTCTTCATCTAATATGATTATATATACATATATATATATATATATGTATATAGTTTGTCAAAGAGTGGGTAGGGTGGAGCTACATAGATTAAGGTACTGTTGTGAGTTTTAAGGCTAACATTTTACTTACATTTTATGCACCCTGTTAGCAATGTCACAAAAGAAAAAGACAAAAAGAGAAAGTAAAATAACTGAGAAAGAATATTATATTTTAAGCCCAAAGTATTTATCCTCGTGATAGTTTGTTCATATTTCACACATATGCTTGCTGGTATCCAAATAAATAGCTTCTTAAGAAATGGAACCTGTGAGTAAATTAAATTATTTTAAATGACTATAGTTAATTTGGTGAAAGGAAAAAAAATAAATAACTTTGTGGAAGTATACAAAACCTGTGGTTAAAAGTATTTTTTCTACATACAGTGAAGTAAAAGGGTAAGAAAATGTATCATAAGAACACATATCTATACTCTCTCCATAGTTTCATAGGAATGTTAAAATGACCAGGAAAAAGAACAAGAACATAAATGTATACAGTCATAAGAATATTATAGTTGAATGTATCACATGATAATTTGTCTTAAATATTAGTTTTAAACCTATTTTAGAAATATTACTATTGCATTAATTCTTGTGTTTATATCTATGCAGAAGCTGTACCTATACATGCCTATAACCAATTAGAAAGGTTGAGTTCATATTTTACTATGTGATGTGTGTACTGACCTGTCCCCTTTGAAGAAATAGGTTTTCCCAACATCCTCCCACCAAATGGCCGAATCGATACCATGAGGAGGAATTCCATTTCCAAGAGTAATCAAATCATGAGGGTAACCAGGTTGAAGAGTTGTATCCTTGAACACCCAATATTTGTTACCTGTATGGGATAAAGCAAATATATTAGTTTATTGTCAGATTAGAAGATAACTGTCAACTCCTGTTATATGAATTACTATGCGAGAAATATTCTTGATATAATTTAGCGCCTGTCACCTCCAAAGACTTGATGTTATTTTTACAAACATGTATTTTATTTCAAAAGCAATGATTACAGTCATCAGAATTTGTGAGTTTTTTAAAGATAATAAGTACTTAATAATATAGAAAAAAAAAGTTTTAATTTAAAAAATAAACTAAATCTAAAACTTAGCCAGAAAGAAGTGATTCTAAAGCAAATTCTTAGATATTAGAGACCCTACATTTCTTTCCAAACCTACAACATTCCTGTGTTTTTGACATTGAGTATGTCATCTACTTGCTTTAGTGTTTATGATCCGTACTCTACTGAAACACTTTCTGGGTGGATCTTTTCCTTTTGTTATGAAAATATTCACGAGTCTCTAGTTTTATAATGCCGCTGTCCTTTGACCCCATGTCTTCTCTTTACTGAAAAACTATCATTCAGTTTAAGAGTGGTACCAAATGGAAGGAAAATATCAATGCCATCCTTATTCAGGATTATCGGAGCATGATAATACTATACTGGAAGGAGAAACAGTTCAGTCAGCTGTATAGTTCTTTGGAAAATTTTCTACAGACAACATACTTCCTTGTGTTCTCCATTCTGGCACACAGAATCCAGCACCTGTCAGCATGCCTACCCAACAATCTACACTCTTTTCTTAATCACTGAAAGGTGATTTCATAACAGTTCTCTGCTTTCTGCCCTCTTGTCAATAATGCCTTCAACTAAAAACAATTTTCCATATTTATTTATTTATTTATTTATTATTCCACCTTTGTTTATTTCTGTTTGTTCCTCTCTCTCTTCTCTCAATGTTTCTTTCTGGTAGAAATTGAGTAAGGGCTCTACCAAGAATGGGACAGAGACTGGCAGGTGTGTTAAGACCGATGGCAAGAGTCTCTGGTTCCTAAGCTATGAGTTCTTGTCACATACCACAAATCCTCCTTAGGTCAAATAACCCAAATGGTTTATTTTTCTTCTAAGCAAAGATGACTGCACTGTACAAATTTTGAACCTACAAATATTATATAAGACATTAAGTCTATTTGAGCCCCCATATCTGTTGGAAAGATTTCTGACTTTAACCCAGGATGTCATGTTGCCTCCATCCAAGTGCCTTAAGAAAATTTTCTAGCATTCATTATTCCCAAAGTCTGCTTTCTTATCAACCTGTGTCCGTCCAGTATGTTTCTCTTTTATTTGCCTTCTCTAAGCCATTAAATGAATTTCTTTTTAATGCACAACTGATTTTTATTTCTATTTAAACGTTTACTGGTTTTCATCGCATTCGTTCAAACTCCCCTATGTCATTTTGAAACTCCTTTAAGTGTACTTAGCTCATCTCATTCTCATTTCCTTTGCCTTGAAAGAATCTGGTGACTCTTTCATAATTTAACCTAGGATAGTTTCTCTGGGAAGCACTTCTTAAGTAATGTTGACCTGTAGTACATGTTTCCTGGATATATGGAATGACAGGCAGGAACCCACCATACTCTGGTTTTCCTGATAAGACGAATGTCCTAAAAACTGCGAAGAAAGGCCTCTCTGACTAAATAGTTAGGATGGAAGATGGTGGCCAAGACTGGCTCCAATATGATAGGGAATAATGACATGGTAATAAATACCTATCATGTCTAAAGGCTCCAGGTCCCAAACTCATGTGCCCTGAGTGGCTAGCCACGCCCAGCTTCCATTGAATCCACATCTTCAATACTCCTGCACTATGATAGGAGATCCAATCATAGTGAAGCTTCCATAGGGGATGCAATCACAAACCTACTCATAACACATGTGTACTTCTTGACCAATAAGACTAGGAGAGAGGAGGTAAGGGACCTTACATATAGGAGCCCTGAGAAAGGGACTATGGACATTTGGTTCTGGAACCTGAAATTGCACAAATAGTCCATTTTACTGTTTCCTTCACTGTCCCTTTTTCGATTTCTTTTGCTTTCAAATAAACTGTTCTGTTTGCTTCATACCATTTCTTGTCCTTTAATTATTTAATCAGCAGAGGAAATGTACCTGAACCCTAGATGATATCAAAATTGTATGAGTGGCTGGACCCAAACCATGATATTTTGAAATAAGCCTCCTGAGTAACTAAGTTTATAGGTTACTATGCTCATCTCAAGAGATTTTTATCTCCTTCCCTCTTTTTTAGGAATAAATATGATGGGACTTTTAAGAGGTGTACTTGTATGTGCTTTAATAAACAAAATTGGGCCCAAATATATCAGACAACCTTTTCTGTAGGTTTATATGATAGAATCACAGCAATTAAACATAAAAAAGGCACTGCCTGACGTGTAGTATAGAATTCTCGGATATACTGAATGTTAACATTTAATTTTCCAACTCTTTATTAAGAAGATATAATTATATAATGCCTTTCAAATCTTAATGCGTTAACATTTTTCACATGACAAAGTTGAAGTTACTTCCTGTTTGTTAATTTGTAAGACTGTGAGACTTATGCCCAATTAATTTCCTTTTGCATACATGAGCTAGATTTTTAATTATCTTAACATCAGATTGTCTGACTTTTCAAGGAAAATATTGCTTCTGTGGCAAATGAAATGATTCACTGGGTTTCAGTGACATGTTTGTTCTTCAGTAAGTGGTAAAACACTGATCCTTACTAACATTGTACTTGGAATAATGCACATTGTTAGAAAACGTTTTGATAAATAAATCAAATAACTTCATAAAGTGATTATCATTTGTGGATCATCTATGACAGTTTTTTTTCAGTGAGAACCATCCATCCATCTATTCTCTACCTCCTTATTAAAAGCTAATAGTAGTGAATGAAAAAGGAGTTACCAGTAAATTAATGAAGGGCAACAGGCCAAGTTGCAGCTCTGTTGGAGCTAACAAAGGACAGAGGCACACATGAAGTAATCATATCAAGAGTTAAATGAAATGAACGATTATTCCTAGGGAGAAGTTTAGTGTTACCTGACAACTGTAGTTTTTTTTTTTTTGGGTCTGGTTGTGGGGCCTGAACTCTGGGCCTGGGCGCTGTCCCTCAGCTCTTCAGCTCAAGGCTAGCACTCTACCACTTGAGCCACAGCGCCACTTCCGGCTTTTTTTTTTCTTTTTGCTTATATGGTGCTGAGGAATCGAATCCAGGGCCTCAGGCTTGCAAGGCAAGCGCTCTACCACTGAGCCACCTTCCCAGCCCACAACAGTAGTTTTATCAATAGGATATTGCTTTCTCTGGGGGTGATGATTCATACATGTGTTCTTGACACTCTATGAAATCATTAGTGTTACTAACATGAGTGCAATCTCTTCTTCAGTTGTACTAAATCTAAAAATGTACTTGAGAACCAATGTGCCTTTTTTTTTTTTCTACAGGTCAAGAAAGTGATGTGCTAAAAATCATACAATTCAATCAGTAATAGAGCTGTATTATGCCCAGGTCTTCTCATTTTAACTTTAATTTTACTCTCCCAAATCAACTCTGAACAGGAGTTCACATTCTGGTGTTCAGATATGCCTATGATTTGCTACTTTCTCCACTTTAAATATTAATTAATAACTACATTAATAAAATAATTTGTTAAATAAATCACCATTTTCTATACATGCTTGTTTGTTCTTTTTTGGTCTTATTATTAAAAATGTTCAAAAATAAATTAACTATTTTTTTCAGTGTCTATATAACTCTATTTTTATATTTTGTATCTTCCACTATTAACAGTGATCAGTAGAACAGTGACACTCACTGCTGCTTGCGTTTGTAAAGAACAGGCCAATACACCATCTTTATACACCATCTTCTTTGACCTTTCCTTGAAAAACTCAGTAGCTAAGAGAGTAAGAGAAGGATAATGGGATTCATCAAGAAAGAAGCACTGACTGTGAAATGATTTGTAGAAAGAAAGAAAACAAAAATTCTTTTATGTCTGAGTTTTCTTCATACCATAAAGCCTCCACTTGTAAGTATTACCATAGAGATGATTACTTTTCAAAATTATCTATATCTATATCTTTATCTATACACTTACTGAAAACATTTTAAGGATTTGAAAATAATTATCATAAAGCATTAATATTCTCTTTGTTAGAGTCTTGGATTAAGGGGGTATTCAACAAGTTTTAAGTAAGAAATAAGAGAACAGCTTTCCTAATTACAAGTTATAAGATCTTGGACAAGTCATTGTAACTAAACATTCATTTCCTATTTTGTATAAAAGATGTCAACACTTTTAATTCAGAGTTCCAGAAAAAATGAGACTTTTAAATCACTCAATCCCAGTGAAAGACTCAGTAAATTATACTTATTGTTATTGTTACATAACAGTATTGTACTGATCAAATTGGCTCATCACCTTCTCAAATAACTAATGTCAAAATAAATAATTACTTATATTTATCTATGGTAGTACTCCTACTTGGATTATGTTTGAATTTCTGCCTTGTATATATGCATAGGTAACTCAAGAAATTTGGATAAATGTCAATGTCTGAAGGTTATAAGATGTCATTAAAAGCCTCCATTTATATTTCCCTAGATTCTGTGGCACCAGTTAATGGGCTTATATTTGCAATGCTTTTGTGGAAATGTGGCAGCTACTGAGGTGTACAGATCTGATTTTCTTTCAAAAAAGAACTTACTATCTGCTAAGTGCCTTTGTAACTTATGCATTACTTGGTCATATGATTTTCCCCCCAGAAGCTTAGAAGGAAACACTGATCACGGGAGGATAATGAAGTCTGGCCAATTCTGCTTTGTGTGAGTCTCCTAAAATAGGCAATGTCTACTCCAGAGTTCAACAAGACATTTGTTAACACTCTGTAACAGCTGCAGCACAGATCTAGGCTTTCTGTTGCCTTGCCTACTCCCCTATCTTTCACAGACTCACCTCCCTCTATAACAAAACTCTTGACCTTCAAACAGTATC